TTTGTAATGCAAAATGTTATAAAAATTCAATAAAATTAAATAAAACTTAATAGAAGCTAAAATTTTAATTAAAATTACACGTACATGTCTAAATCGATTATTTAGTTTATTGATGTCTAAATCGATTGCCTCCATAACCGACACCATAGCGGGCATACTTATCACAACAATGCCGAATATAGGGGCAATCTAACCTGCCAGCTATCATAGCCAGGACGATATTGGGGCTGGCAACCACTCTGCGCACCAGTGATGCACACTTTTTGCGCATCGTTGTGTAGAAGCAATCACTGCAGTGCGCTGCACGAGCGGGGGAGCCCCAATAACGCATTCATTGCATACTCTGGCGATCTTTACTTGATGCCTTAATTATTTAGTATAGTCTCTGTGTCACTATTTCTACTTTATTATATCAATTCATGTCTCGTTGCTTGTTCAAAAAATAATGTCCCTATCTACCGACCCGAGAGATAGGAAGTTCAGGGGAGACTACAGGCTCATCGGCAAGACAAGGGTACAGCGTCCGGCCAAGCCCTCCGCCAGTGATACGCCTTCAAGGGCATTTCTGACGAACCCGGACTTGGGTATGGACTCGCCGGGGTTTGTGGTTAGCTGCAGGGAAAGAACACGTTCGTCTGCCCCGGTAGCATGTGGCCGGGGCGTTCATCCCACACGCAGCTGGCGCGTCTTAGTAGCGGTCTGGACAAGGGCCTACAGGACACGTGAGTTGCCCATAAGTCGGAAACTATGTCCGTACATTGTCGTAGGACACTGCAGTAGCCAGTACAGCAGGCAGTAGCCGGGAGAGCTAGTAGAGGATGAGCTAGATATCCTCCGGTCCCTCCAGTCGCGTAGATTTCTGGGAACTGGAGAGACGTTTCAGCGTCGGGAGGTGAGCGTGCCTGTAGCTCCGCCACCAAAGTGGAGATTTGGCAATGGACTTTAGAGTCAAGGGCTTAGTGGTGGCAACCGTTAGTCGTGTAATACGCAACGGGAAGTGAGCGTGCCTTCAGCTCCGGTACCTATCTGCAAAATAGGGAGGGTACTGTACGTGCACCCGAGGCAGCTCCCCCAATGCACTAGCTTTTTAAGAACCGGATGATGTTTGTGCAAACGGGTCTTTGTGCTCGCACAGGTTACAGTGCCCTTCTCATATACCCTAACTGTCGGTATCAAGGGTACTATAATTAAAACTTATGTAGAAAGGAACGGGAGGTATCCAAAAATAGATAAATAAATAAATGTATAATCTCTGTGATGATATTTGACTTTAATTACAATCACTTAAGTCGTTAACAAATAATTACAAAAACAATATAATTGTCAAATCTGTTGAATTATCAACTCGTAATCAGAAACATCAACAACATTATCAACTTGGAACACAAAATAACGTCATCACACTGATTACCTAAAAACCTAAACTAGTGTATTGACAAGGCAAGGTTGCATTTTTCAAGTACTATGCGTATTTATTTTCTGGTACATTGGGTGACATTTTTTAAATGAAAATTATTTAGGAAAATAAAGCGTGTCGTCACGTTCCTAATTTTACTTAAATTCGTAGCCTTGGTAAAAAAAATAAAGCCACATGCAATCGTACGTCAAAAGTGGAGAAATTTATAAACGTTCGCTCTGGGCCTTTTGGAGGGAAAGTGTCGTTTTTATTTTGACTTTCAATTATTTTGTGAAGTCTAGTTTAAAGTGGAATAGGATAGTGCTATTGTGCCTTAATCGAAGATTAAAACGCGAAATTATACGAATCTCGAACTAAAAAAATTCTAAGGAATCCCGAGTCAATCCAAACATCAAACCGCCTCAAATTGCCTATCCTCTTTGTGGCGGCCATATTTACACAAACAATTAAACGAAGACATGGCTCAAAAATAATGTACCAAGACTTGGCTGTATGGTGTAAAACCTTTGCGTTTTCCTTTATGGAAAGAAGAAATTTATAAAAATAATACCAACTACATCATTCTACATCTACCAACAAATGGACGTCGGATCCGCGCTATAAAAAGTGTTCGAACCTATAGGGCGTTAAAATCGCATACCATCGAGTACATAACCAGAAATATATACGAAATCAAGGCCATCCATCCCTGGCAACTCATAAGGCAAATGGTACATAAATCACTTTTAAACTACCTCCGTGGCCGAACGGTTACCATGCCGGACTGCCACGCAGAGGTCCCAGGTTCGATTCCCGGGCCGGGCGAAATATTTGTATGACCTACATTTATTTCTCTCGTGAGTTTGGGTGTAATTTGTGGTTGTCTATGTGTGTGTCCATGGCACCCGCGACACAGGGTTTCCCTAGTGCGGGGCTATGTTGAGTGTGTGCGTTATTATTATTATTATTATTAAACGTCAACTCTCGTTTGCGCTGAAATAACAAATTATAAAGCTGAAGTACAGCTCCTACAACTGACCTGTGTGTATGTCTCCGTATATTCCAAAAATATTCTGTATTTATTGTAATAAAAGATAATATATATAACTATGGGGGGCTGTTCCATTCGGTGGTGTGAGAAAAACAGCAAAACAATTGACATCCGTCAATTGTTTCGAATTTGGCCTGGCCAATCGGAGCGCAGTTGTCACCATAATGATAATGGCAGAATAGTTTTCAAACAAATTAAATGACATTTCGTCTCTACTTCTGGTTATATGCTCGATGTCGCATACAGAGTCAATCGCGCAGTTATTGGCACATTTATAATTATTTGTATTATTATTAATAGTATTATTTGTATGTGATTAATTATATGTACCTGCGCAAATTTTTTATTTCTTTAAATGAATTTGTACAAAATTCGACATATCAAGTAATTTTCACTCGGAGCTAAATACGGTGCATTTTGTTATATTTCCAGTAGAAGCTCAATATGGTGTTTTTCGGCCTTAGTATTGTTGCAAGCAAAATTGAGCAGTACTGCCATGACCTTATAATTTAAATTAAATGTTTTAATTTTAGGAAATGAAACTATTTTTCCGGATTTAAATCGCGTATATTTGTTTTTTCAAACAGACCTACGTTTCGGGCCCTTTACAGGTCCCATGAATGGTCCCATGGGACCAATAGTTTCATTTCCTATGTGTAACAATCGCGAAAACCTAAGAACTCGATATGTTTTAATTTTTTTATATTCCTTTATACAATATCACTAAGTTTATGTAAGTTAACTTTGGACATTTTTTCGTGGTTTTTATATTAAACTCGACGTCTATTTGTTGGTAGGTCTATATGATGAATGAACTACATGGAACAAATTGTGTATTATGCATTGACTTACTATTATATGTACGTCGGGTCCGCGTTAAAAAGTGTCCGAACTTATAGGGCGTTAAAATCGTATACAGAGCGTCATTCACGCTTTAGTCTTCGTTTGTTGACTGACAGCGAAGCAAGCAAAATTAGACAGTACTGCGATGACATTACAATTTAAATCTAACGTTTTAGCTTTTTCATATTCCTTTACATGTCACTACGTTTAAATAGGTTGACTTGGGACATTTTTTTCGTGGTTTTTGTATTAGACCCGTCGTCCATTTATTTGTAAGTCAATGGTATTATGTGAAATTTTTTAGCTCTCCTTTATAAACATAAAATGTTATAGGCTGATTTCGTTCGTAGAATCTTTAAACCTCTTCCGAAAAGTTGCCAATTTGCAAATATGGCTACATTATTAGAGACAATGTCATTATTTGTTTCTGTATTTAAAACAACACAATTAAAAACACATGTTTGGAAATTGGAGCTATCTATAATTGACAATTAATAATATAATAATGAATTTGCACTATTATGTTATGATATGAAGTCGATTTAATTTTGACGAATTGAAATGTTCCTTAGCCGCCATTTGCTTTTTTGTCGGCATTTTATTATTATTATTATTTTAATATTACTTTGGACACAGAAAGTTTAGTCAACGAAGGATAAGCGGGAAAATTTGTTTTGGTTCAGGCTTTAATTAAAAATAACAGTCTTACAAAATATATAATACGATACACCTAAGGATGTTGTCTAGGTACTTTATCCGATCATATAAAATCTCGAAAACAGGCTAAAATTAAAATCCAACAGGAATTATTTCAGAATAAAATAAAAAAAAAGTTTTTCAGAAAAAGAAATATAATTTATTTCTTTTTTTAATATAATAAAAATAAACTTTACACATGATTTTTATATTGCGATAATTCCCTTTAAGTACCTACTACAGATAACCTGCAACTTAGAATAATAACGCATAGAAACCTAGTCCGCACACGCTAAGTGAGGCAAATTGAGCGGGCGGGCCTCCAATGCTCAAGGTCAACTTGCACCGCGAACAGATCAAGAATTTTAGCTAAAAATGACGAAATGTGCGGTAAATGAGTGTAAAAATACGTCAGACAAACAAAATAGATACTAACATCACATTCCACAAGGAAGTAACGCGTTTCAACTTGTATTTTTATATAAATATTCACTAAAACCGAAAATTAACCTACTACTAAAACTAGCCTACTTGAATTTGATTTTTGCCTCACTTGTGACCGTTTGTTTGATATGAAACTATCTGTAAGGGTAGCTTCCCTTACTCTAAGTTGTAGTTTGCTGGAGAGTCAATCAGTTTATCACTAGAACGGGATGTTAGTAATGAAACGTGTCCGCACTCAATGATTCCGTTTATTGAACTCTAATAAAGTAAACACGTAATAGCTTTTTATGTTAAAATCTACGTCAGCGTATATAGTTTTACAATTATTATAATATTTTCCTAAGTATGTCGAGGTCGAGTACACTATCATTCTATGCGTCATTATTCTAAGACCTGCATAATTGAGGTTTTTCAACTGAAGTCCTATAATTATTAAATTCATATTTATTATTCCAAAACTTGAGAATTGACTAGCGGTTTAACGACACTGTGACTGTTGAATGGAATAGCAAGTTTTGTAGGTAGGCGTATCGCTTACCACAGGACTAATTGTTTGGCCCGTCATTTGATATTAAAAAAAAACCCTTTTACAGGCCACGAGAAAACAGTAAACATCCCACAGGATTGGATTACGATGCACTCTCGCTGCCGTGCCAGCATGAGGGCACAAATCCAGATGGAAGTCGCTGCTTCACTGCAGTATCTTGCTATGGGCGCACATTTCTCCAGGGATGAGGTATGCGGGCCTACGTACCCCATTTATTTATTCATAAATTCTGAAATAAATGAAGGCCGTATGGTGGCAGAACAGCATGGCAACCGTTCGGCCACAGAGGCAGAATTACTAGTAGTAGAGCTCCTTTATTCAGTTGATAGTCGATAGAATATTTATCGACTGCAATCACTTGAAAGCGGGCAACATTTTACACAACGATCGCGTCCCTTACTCCATCTTCAAAAAAGACAGACTATTGTATTTTACTAATAAGCCTGTACATAGTGTACATAATTTGTTTAATACATAGGGCGCACTATAAGTTTCCGGAACTGGCCACTTACATAAACAATATTTAAAAAGTAAAATTACAACATTTGAAAATGGAACTCTGGCTGTAGAATACAGTTTGTTTCATCTGACAGTAACTTGTTTTAACATTGTGGCGTCATTTTAGAAATTGGTTGTCTACAACACCATGGATTTAACTCGTGAGAATTTTCGTAATATGATTTTCTACGACTTTAAATGTAATTCAGCTCAGCGGAGCTTCCCTCGGCTTCAAACTGCTTTTGGCGATGAAGCACCATGCAAGACGACTATTTATAGCTGGTTTGCAGAATTCAAACGCGGTCGTGTGAAACTTAGTGACGAATTTCGTGATCGTCGCCCGTCCACTGCTGTGAACAACAAAAACATCGATGGTGTGCGCCGTATGATCAAAACAGACAGGCATGTAACATACCTTGAGATTCGGGCATCTTTAGGCATAGGCATGAGTCAAATACAATTAGTACTACACACACATTTGCGTGTGAAAAAGCTGTGCTCTCGGTGGATCCCACACAATTTGACTGAGGCTCAAAAAACGGATCGCGTCACTTGGTGCAATGCCATGCTTACTAGATTCAACGAAGGGCCGTCAAATTTGGTGTGGGACATAGTAACAGATGACGAAACATGGATTTATAGTTGCGATCCCAAAACAAAGCAGCAATGGAGCGTATGGGTCTTTCGAAATGAGTCGACACCAACCAAAGTGGCGCGCGTGCAAAGTGCCTCTAAGCGGATGATTGTTTCTTTTTTTAATAAAACTGGACACGTGGTTGCTGTTGCTTTGGAGAATCGTTGTACCGTGAATAGTGATTGATACACTACCATTTGTTTGCCGGAAGTTATTGACAAACTCCGTTAAAATAACCGTAAACGCCGTATCATCTTGCACCACGATAATGCCAGGTCTCACACGGCCATCCAGACAAACGAATTTTTGAAGGTGAACAACGTTGACCTTTTTAGCCATCTCGCGTACAGTTCCGACCTGGCACCTTGTGACTTTTGTTTATTTCCAAAAATTAAGAACCAGTTACGCGGTCAACGATTTTCATCAGCTGAAGAGGTTGTCGAAGAGTATGAAAAATATGTTCCAGAGATTGTCACGGAGGAGTGGCATAAATGTTTTCAAAATTGGTTCATTCATATGAAAAAGTGCATTAACGCTAACGGAGAATATTTTGAGAAACAATAAATTAATTTCTGACCATTTAGTGTTTTTTTCTCATTCATTCCGGAAACTTATAGTGCGCCTCACGTATAAAATTATTTATCTATACACATATCAAAAACTCTCTATAACGTGTTCAAAAACCGCAAATTGCGACCAGCATAAAGGTAAACTGTTTTGTTAGAACAAATTTCTTATCTGTGAAAATGTTATTATTGCTTCATAATAACATCGAATTCGATGTTATTATTACATTCAAATTGCGAACATCTCTGAAAAACAAAACAATTTGATTTGACCTCAGTTCTAATATCAGTCGAGATGAAGTTTTTTCGAAATGAAATGTCAATAGCAAACAATTTTGACAATTTCACACGTTACTTGATATCGAACGATATGATAGTTGGGGCCGATTCTAGTTTGTCTAAGAATTAAAAATAAAAACTACGGTTGTGTGACATGCGTGAGAAAAGTTTTATTTGCCGCCATTTCGGCAGTCGTAACATGCGGTTCCTGAACACATCACAGAGAGCTTATAATATGTGTATAGATAAAGCAGTGTATGTAAGTGTACATAATTAGGCATTAAAACACTCATGCGATGTTTTTATGTAACTCGCCTGTCGGCTCGTTTCATAAACCCACACTCTTAGAATAATAACGCATAGAATGATAGTTTCATATCAAACGAACTGTCACAAGTGAGACAAAAATCAAATTCAAGTAGGCTAGTTTTAGTAGTAGGTTAGTTTTCGGTTTTAGTGAATATTTATATAAAAATACAAGTTGAAACGCGTTACTTCCTTGTGGAATGTGATGTTAGTATCTATTTTATGTTTGTCTGACGTATTTTTACACTCATTTACCGCACATTTCGTCATTTTTAGCTAAAATTCTTGAGCTGTTCGCGGTGCAAGTTGACCTTGAGCACTGACGGCCCGCCCGCTCGAGTAGGCCCTTTGGGAGCGCTTCAATTTGCCTCACTTAGCGTGTGCGGACTAGGTTTCTATGCGTTATTATTCTAAGCCCACACTCGTGTTTTAATGCCTTTCATTAAGTAATTGTCACATGAACTACTTACTATTTTATGACTGTCATGTGATAAAAGCACAATAGTTTTAGGAGCAGTAGACCACCTTGTGAAAGAGTTCGTCCAGGTAAGTACTGCCACCTTAATTATTTATGCCGCCAAGCAGTAATGTTAGCATTATTGCGTTCCGGTTTTGTCATGGGACTTGTCATCTTATGTCTCAGGGTGTCGGGCGCAGTGGCAGCGCCCCTCAGATCTTTGCGATTTAAAGCTCCGAGTGGCACAGCAACTGTTATGGACAGGCGTGTAGCTTACCATCAGGCGCACGACTTGTTCGTCCCGTCATTTGATATTATAGAAAAAAAACATTTTTTTGACGTGTTTCTTCACAACAGGTAAACAGACCGGGTTTTGCGAAGCTTTTCTTCGACGCCGGAACCGAAGAGCGTGAGCACGCCATGAAGTTAATTGAATACCTGCTCATGCGAGGTGAACTTACTAGTGACGTCAGCTCGCTTATTGCTTTCAAGGTAGGAAGTTCTTATAATCACTCACCAGGTACCAGGGTATCATGAAAATCAGCACCCGCATTTATCGATGCTGATACTCATTGCTGATATTCGAGTCGTAACATGACCTAACAGCATCGATGATATAACCAGAAATAGAGACGAAATAAAGGCCACCCATTCCTGGCATATCATCAAGTAAATAGGCCTTATATCACTTTTAAATATCAACTCTCGTTTGCGCTGAAATCAGAAATTAGAAAGCTGAAGTACAGCTCCAACAACTGACCTGTGTGTACGTCTCCGTATATTCCAAAAATATTCTGTATTTATTGTAATAAAGATAATATCTCTAACTATTCTATCTATATATAGCCCTTCCATTGGATGGTATGGGAAAAATTACAGCAAATAGGCATTATAGCAAAGCTCGAGTTATACTGGTCCTTCCGAACCTTCCGGAAACAGACTGTTAGCTGAAAAAGCAGCTCGGCTCTTGTTTTTAAAATATAACTTTGATAAAATTCCAAAACGACTAAGCCAGGCAGATTGATTCTTTTGTTAACAAATGTCACAAAATCATTGAAATAATATTTTATTTCAATACCTACCAAAGAAAATATAAAGCTTTTTTCATGTAGATGGATTCTGTAGGGATGTACATTTTTCGCGTTTTTTTTTTAATAAGTAATGTTAGGTCAAAAAATCAGCTCCCGCTGATGTGTAAAAAACCTGCATTAGCAACTACCTATAACTAACGTGACCAATATTTTTCCATCAGAGCGGGACAAAAATAAAGCACATGTTTATGATAGTTACCAAATCCTTAACAATTAACATCAATAACATTAACATATTTAAAATATTTACAATACACTATTTTACATTATCATATTTAACATTACTTTAAAACTTATAACATTTTTTATTCCAACAAACTACTCCGAAAACACCCTCGTTATCACGGCTACGTTTCGGGCCCTTTACAGGTCCCATGGTCACGGTTGACTGAGATGATACAGTCTTCAACCAGTTATATCTAATATTGATGCAAACCACCCTATTTTTTCACTATAGTTACAATAGTTATTAATTAAATACCTTATTTTTAATTTTACAAAGAAAACATTCCAATTTACGCTATATTAAGTTTTACAAATTATTTTATTGAATGAATTTTTATTAAGTTCAATTTATTATTAATTATTAATAGAAATTAGAATAAACTAAAACTATTAAAGTACTAAAACTGTTTAATGATCAAAAACTTTCCGTACTTGTGTACTTACGTCTCAGGGTGTCAAGCGCAGTGCCCCTCAGATCTTTGCGATTTAAAGCTCTGAGTGGCACTGCAACTGTAATGGATAGGTGTGTAACTTACCACCAGGCGGACGACTTACTATTTATTATTCTATCTCCAGCCTCCTCAACGTAAGAACTGGGAGAGCGGCGTGGATGCTCTCGAACATGCACTAAAGATGGAAGCTGATGTCACCAAAAGCATTAGAAATGTTATTGATGACTGCGAAAGCGATCCAGAGTTCAACGACTACCATGTAAGTGTCGAGTTCTTAGGTTTGAATGAAAATATTTTGTTGGATCTAAAACGCGTATATTTGTTTTTTTTTTTTTTCAAGCAAACCAACGGTCCTTCACTGGTCCCATAGGCACCTAATGGGGACCTGTATTACGTTTTTACAATAAGATCCCGGGGCATATATTAAGATTACCGTTTCCTAAGTTTAAAACTTAAATTAAAAGTATTTTAATTGAAAAGTCATATTACAAAATTGTAGACTACGTGTTAGATAAATATCTATGGAAAGACAACCTGAGTCCACACAAATGTGATTCAAAATGTAATAAATACATTTAAGTTTATTTGAAAAGAGCAATCCCTAGAGTTTCTAGCTCGTTCTTCTCAGTGAGGTCAGCGTATTGAACGATCAGTAGCTTAAAAAATGACGTGTTCAAGTCATTGACTTACAATTATATGGACAATTACAGTTATAAAGTGTCCGAACTTATAGGGCGTTAAAATCGTATACAGAGCGTCATTCACGCTTTAGTCTTCGTTTGTTCGACTGACAGCGAAGCAAGCAAAATTAGACAGTACTGCGATGACATTACCATTTTGAATTTCAACGTTTTAGCTTTTTTATATTCCTTTACATGTCACTACGTTTAAATAGGTTGACCTGGGACATTTTTTTCGTGGTTTTTGTATTAGACCCGTCGTCCATTTATTTGTAAGTCAATGGTTCAAGTGTAAAAATCTTACCTACGGAATAAATGATTATTTGACTTTGGCTTTGACTCACGGGTGACTGAGATGGTGGAATAGTCGAGTCTTTAGAGCGGTGCAGTAGCCATGCTGTCGCTAATCGTCTACCTGTATACATATGCGCGATTTTAAGATTTTGGGATTTATAGGCGATTGCATCGATGCAGTCGCGCGTTTGAATCGATGCAATCGCGCGTTGGTAATATTTGGTATCAGTTGGCAGATGTATACCAAAGGTGCGAGACCTATACCGTTTTCTTTTGTTATTTAAAACATAGTGTTAATAACATTTATCTGTCCACAGCTCGTCGACTACCTGGCTGGTGAATTCCTTGAAGAGCAATACAAGGGTCAACGTGACCTGGCTGGCAAGGCTTCCACGTTGAAGAAGATGATGGATCGCCATGTGTCTCTTGGAGAGTTCTTATTTGACAAGAAACTTCTTGGCATGGACATCTAAACAACTAATTTTTAAAGAAAATAAAAAAAGAGTAATTATGATTATTTTTCCGTTCAAAACTATGTCAAAAAGTATTAGAAAATTTTTAAGGTTGTGTAGTTTATTAAAAACGTCAAACGTTTAATCGTAAGGAATAAAACATTAAAAAATATCACGTAGGTATATTTAAAAAACAACCTCACACGTTAAGAACCCGCCATTTTAAATGTCCTTTCAAAATGGCGGTTTGAAAATTGTAGAAAATTAAGTAATGTTTAAGAATTGTAATTATACATTGAAATAGATTAGGTTTAGAGTTTTTCTAATTGTATACTCCACTACTTTACTAATTTTATATAAAACAATTAAAAAAATACAACAAATTTATATACATAAATTTATGTATTAGTTTTTCAAATTTGAAATTGGCGCTAAAGATGGCGCCCGCTTTACCTTATTATAACAAAATTAGATAAAAATGAAATTTCTTCTTCAAGTTGTTGCAATTTTCAGTATTTATTTCATTATTTCTTATAAATAAAACGTTTTGTCAACCGCAAAATGTAGTCTTATTATAAATTAAATCTGTAAACATGCCATAAATACCAAATGTAGGCGATGCAATGTTTTAAAAAAGATGTTGATGATCAAAGTAACAACTATTTTATCCTACAAAAGCTTTTCTTTTGAATTATAAGTAATATAATTTTTCTCAAACATGCTCGGAAATATTTGCATTACTTTCAAAAAATTAACACGGAAAGTTTGCCATTTATGAATCATGCTTCTTCCCGGCAAAGGCCTGCAAAGTAAAAATGAAAATCCGTTACTTTTCTCTAAACTTTGAAATCTACCTACTAGTCAATGACTAATAATGAACTATGTAAACAGGCAAAAGAAAAACTCATACGGCCAACTACCCAGTGTTTATAATTGCGAGAATTAAAAATACCTACCCGTACTGCATACTAAAAAAAAATGGCGGTAACATTTAAAGTAAAGTGTTTTGGTATTCTTTTGTTTTTCGTCTTTTTTGTATTTTGGTCACAAAAATGAGAAAGTGAGAAGAGCGATAACGAAAATAGATATACATTCAAACACATCGGGAATTCAGCAGATTCCTATTAATGTGCCAAAAAAAAAGAATAACATTTCCTTTTAGCAATTGTATTGTATAAATTTTAATGTAAATTAATATATCTTTTTTCCTTTTTATATTATACATCTTCCTTTCTATAGTCTTTTATTATTTCCTCACATTGTGGATTGCTTGACTCGTATTAATACAAGACCTCGCTGGCGCTCGTCCTTGTAACTTATACTCGTCCAGCAATCCCTTACTTGTCGGCCTCTGCAATAATGTACTAAATAATATAAAATAATTTAATTTGAAATTTAGTATGAGCTTTTCGGTTACTTAGAACATCGTGATAAAATCTGCACGTAGAAGAAGGTTCACAACCACAGAACGATAAATACAGTAGAAGTTACTAGTTAGCATCCGACGCCTGCCAACTATAGATCTTGACAGCTCGGTCCGCCATTTTCGCTTTGTAGCAACGTGGTTGAGTAAGCGGAAAACTCTGGATTTTTTGTGCCAGATTTTTACCTGCATTAACGAAAAATTCATTTGCTTTGTTAACAGCAATACGATCAGATGAGTGGCTTTTTAATAATCCTGTAGATGATTTATGCTGTTTCGATATGTAGGTTACCTTTTTTATATATTTCCAAACCTTTTTACTGTCTGTACCAGCTTTTTCCAATTCTTTTTTATCAAAACAGCTTTTAACTTTTTTAAGTAGATCGTTACAAAAGTTCCTATATCTTTTGTATGATATTTGTAGAATTAAATTAGCTGGATTACTTTTTGCCTTCATATGTAGTTTATCCCTATGACGCATACAGCGAATAAGTCCTGGTGTAATCCAAGGTTTGATATTGTAATTTTTACTATTTAATCGCATGACCTTGCTATTACTTAATATTGATTGCTGTACACTTAGAATAATAACGCATAGAAACCTAGCCCGCACACGCTAAGTGAGGCAAGTTAGAGGGTTCCAAACGCGCACCCAGGAGCGCGCGGGCTGTTAGTGTTCAAGGTCATATTGCACCGCGAACAGCTCCAAAATTTTTTGCTAAAAATGACGAAATGTGCGGTAAATGGGTGTAAAAATACAACAGACAAACATAAAATAGACACTAACATCGCATTCCACAAGTAAGTAATGCGTTTCAACTCATATTTTTATGTAAATATTCACTAAAACAGAAAAATAATTTCGCGGCAACAAGATACGAAAGTGTTGCAAAGTAACGAATTTTTTTTCTCCCCATTTTGCTATTCTGTTTCAAAATAATTATATTACGTAAATTTTAGTGGTGCCTGTAATTTCGATTTATTTGCGCATCTTGAACTAATATTTACTTGAATAAACATTAAATGTTTTCGTGAACTCCTGTAAGTGATTGGGACACTTAATTATTTTATAATACTTTTAACGGCTCTGCGTTCATGCTTTATTGAATAATTATTTATTTTAATTTTATTTGAATTGGAGCACATATTGCAACAAATTTACAGTATATATTTGTTTCTACTATAGTGTTGGCACCACCAGTACAACTTTGATAGCTTATTATAATGTCTTTCTTTTCGTAACTCAAGCTAAATATTTTATATTGAAATATTTTATTTTCTTAAAAGGGGAGCATTCTTAAGCGATTTTTTAATCTATTTTAACAGTTATTTTCTTTAATGTTTGCTTATGGCATTTTCCGTTTTAGGTTTCGAATATGGCAGTTATTTCTAAATCCAAGATGGCGGGCGCGATTTTTCGAATAATGGCTAGTTGGGTATCGTTTTCGAGATGTTTGGGAATGTTCAATACAAATATGGCACTCATTTCTAAATCCAAGATGGCAAACACGACAGTTCAAACAAAAGCAATATTCGTAATGAGCACCCCCAAATACCTCGAAAACGATACCCAACTTGCCATTATTTGAAAAATCGTGCCCGCCATCTTGGATTTACAAATAGTGCCATATTCACATTGAGCATCCCCAAATACCTCGAAAATGATACCCACATAGCATTTTTTTTTTAAAATCGTGCCCGCCATCTTGGATTTAGAAATGAGTGCCATATTCGTAATGAGCACCCCCAAATACCTCGAAAATGATACCCACATTGCATTTATTTGAAAACTCGTGTCCGCCATCTTGGATTTAGAAATGAGTGCCATATTCGTAATGAGCATCCCCAAATACCTCGAAAAGGATAC